CATTCATCCATCCATCTATCCACTCATCCATCCATCCATCCATTCATCCATCCATCTATCCACCCATTTGTCCATCCATTCATCCATCCATCTATCCATTCATCAATCCATTGATACATTCATCCATCCATCTATCCACTCATCCATCCATCCATCCATTTATCCATCCATCTATCCACTCATCCAACCATCCATCCATTCGTCCATCCATCTATCCACTCATCCATCCATCCAACCATCCTTCCATTCGTCCATCCATCCATCCATCCATCCATCCATCCATCCATCCATCCACCTATCCATCCATTCGTCCATCTATCCATCCATTCATCTGTCCATCCATTCGTCTGTCCATCCATCCATTCATCCATCCATCCATCCATCCATCCACCCACCTATCCATCCATTCGTCCATCTATCCCATCCATCCATCCATCCATCCATCCATCCATCCATCCATCCCAGTACCCAGCACTTGCAATTTTCCCTGAGCCACAGAGGACACAGAAGTGTCTCGACAAAGGTCCTCGAGCAGCTCACAGCCACAGGACAGGACAGGACAGGACAAACAGACGAGTCCCTGAAGCAGAACAGCACAGGACTGGACCACAGATCTAGAAACCACACGGAATGTGAAAGCACCTCTGCTGGTAGGTTCCCGGGCAGAGAGAGAAAGCAGAATGCTGCCACGTGGACACGGTCGTTCACCACCAGTAGTGACAGGAGACTGGCCCCTGGAGAAGAGACACTCGACAAACAAAAGGAGACTCTGTTTCTCTGCAGAGGGAGACGAGGAAACAGCTAACACGGATGGACGGAAGAAGAATGAGCTCAGTATCCACTGGGAACAAAGAAGCACCACCATTTCCAAGTAATCACGGCCTGGTTAGGGTCTCGTGAGACTGAAAAGCAGCAACGGTCCCCCTGCCGTACCGCTGAGCTGGGACTCACCCTTCCTCACGGCCACAGTGAGTATGCTGGCGCTGCTCAGCCCCCGCCGGCCTGTCACCGTCAGGCGGAAGCGGTGCATGCCCACCGGAAGCCTGCTCACGGTGGCGACAGCCTTGTCACTATTCCCCATCTCCACTGCCGCTTGACCTCTGTAAAGCAGGGGCGGGAACAACAAAAGCAGAGGTATTCTGACTGCGGCAGGCGGGACATCTGTGTCCTAACACAAGTCCCCCTTTACAGCCAAAACATATGCCGTCTATGGAAGTCTACAGTAACTTTTTATCCACCTAAATTCTCTAGTTCAGCATATGGGTCGTGAGGCAATGCCTATTTTAGACTAAGCCTGGGATTCCTTTGGGAATAGTTATTATTTACTTCTTAAGAGCAGATTCAGGATCCCAGGAGTTTGAGCATGCAAACCACAAAGACTGTCACATGACACAGGACCCCCTTAAGCTCTTTATCTCTTTGGTCTACAGATGGTTTAAACGAGTGTAGACGGGGGGCCTCGTGAGGGCCTCACACAGGTCCTCCCCACACCTCTCCCGTCCTGAAGCTCACCCACGGCAAGATGGCCCTTCCGCCTGGCATGGCTCCACTTCCCCCCCAAAGCCAGCCAGCATCTATCGTGTCCGTCCACGCTATTGTGTCTACTCTTCGGCAGCCGTGCTCGGACACTTCCAGAAAGGGGCTGAAATCCCAAGTCCCCG